TATATGACATGTGCTTTTCTGCATTTTAAACACATGAATTATGGATTTCATTTTGAAACTATTTTTGCTATCATAGTAATTACCTGCCAACACATAGTAATCATTTTGGGTTGAAAACTATTTCCTTCTACACTGGACCTAATTTGTTGCTTGAACTTGCAAGTATTATGTGTCTACATGATATTTTCATGCTGCTAAGCTTCACTGAAATCATAGTGGCCACTTTTATCATTTCAATATTGCACAAACTGACATAATTCACTTCATAGTGACCACTCTGCATGTACCTAACTGTCTATTCTTTCATTGTCAGAGTAGTTACTATTAACTAGCTAGTAGTTACTTTTGTATACAGAACTACTTTGATTTGCCTCAATTTTCTCTGATTCATGCACACTTGTTGTGAAATTATGCCCACTCCATTACCTCTACATTCTGTCATACTTTATTGCCAAAGTAACTACTTTCATTTATCATAGTAGCTACTTTCTTCTGCAACAGTGCTGTAAATTGCTTGCATTTTCTCTCTTTCATTTCCAAATGGTGTGAAATTCTTGCTACATGGTTAATTCTGCACTTCACTCATTCATCCCTTTTTCTATGTGCAGATTAATGGCAAACACTCGTAGAAAGAACGCACCCAGGGCCAAGACAGCAGCTGCTTCTTCCTCTAGGCCTCAGCCTGCCCATGATCCCTGATTTAGGTCCTTGGCTCATGAGAATTTCTTCAAAGCAAATATTCTCAGGCGACACATTATGCAGGACAGGAATTTCGACCTGCAAAAAGGGACCTACCCCCAATTTGAGCAGGAAATCCAGAAAAAGGGGTGGGATTTGTTCACCACATGTGCTGGGCATGGGTGGAAGGACATCACCCAGGTGTTCTATGCCAATGCCTTCAGGGTTAAGGGAGATGATTTCTCCTACAGGCACTCCATGATAAGAGGCAAGATGATAGACTTCAACCCTGCCAACATCCAGAGGATCCTCAACATTCCTCTTCCTGAATAGAGGGCTGGACAGCTGGACTACACTACTTTCAGCTACTTGGAGGAGAAGGACTACAAGCCAATCCTTCAAGCAATATGCAAGGCTAGAGAGAACTGGGAATTTGACATAAAGCTTTAGCCCAAGAATCTGACTACAAAGCACCTCCTTCCACCTGCCAAAGTCTGGAGCATCTTCATCCTGAGCTCCTTCATGCCAGTCATGCATTCATATACCCTAGCAGTGAAGAGAGCAGAGCTAGTTTATGCTATCATGACAGGGATGCCCATCCATGTTGGTGATGTTATTAGCAATGCCATCATGGAGATCCTAGCTAGGAAGAAGGATTCTATGGGTTTTCCCTCCATCATCACTATGCTCTGCCAGGATGCTGGAGTTGACTTTGGGGAATATCAACAGAAAATTAAAGCAGCTCCCTGCATCACCACAACTATGGTGAAGGAGCTGTTTAAAGCTAAGAAGAGCTCAGCCCGAGAGATGCCTCCCCAAGTTGCAGGAAAGAAATGCTTCCTTTCCAACATGAAAGACCAGCTGAAGGAAATAGCTCTGGGACAAAATGTTATACATGCTGGCCAGAAGGCTGCTCTGACCCTCACAGATACCATGTTGCTCAACATAGGGAAGAAGGTGGGGATGACTGCTGAAGAGATCTACTATGTCCCTACTTTCTCAGCCCTTTATCTCAGAGCAGCTGTTCAGAATGATCTTCCGCCTTTCACAACTACAGCAGAAGAGAAGGAGGAAGAGGAAGATAGCAGCCCAGAGGGGGAGCAAGTACCAGACCCAATAGCAGCAGCAGAGGAGCAAGATGATGAGGACACCGACACTAATGTAGCTGATGATGACCTCTCCTCCAGCTCTGATGAGGATGCAATTTAGCTTAAAATTTCTATTTCTGTTATTTATTTAACCTTCTCTTTCATTGTACATATTTTCTCTGCTAATTTCCCTGTAATTAGTACACTTTTTCATTTATTTTCCCTGCCTTTAATTTTTCTTTATTGCTTCTACTCTGAACAAATACTTAACTCTTTTATGTTGTATATATATATTATCTAAGTTTGAGTTATTTTGTTCTTCTGGTGCTGAATTTATTGTCTCTTTGTGCAGAGAAAGCTCTCAATTCCATCAAGAGGAGCATCAATTTTTTTTGTCCAATGAGTTGAGGCACTATCATTCATGAAAGGGGGGTGAAGTTCATTGCCTCTATTTCATATACTCTTAACCTCATTTTTCCTGCACAATTATACATCAAAATACAAAAATAATGCTTTGTTCTTTCTCTTGTTCATTGAATTTAATTCTGTAATTCCAATTCTAGACTCTTACTGCAATTTTCATTCAATTTATGAACACACTCTACTTTTGTAAATAATTTTCTCTCCATGCCATGTTGAATATCTTTTCTTGCAAGGTGAATTATCCTCACATGATGTTAAGTAGTTATCACCATTTTAACCATGGTAGAGAATTGAGCTCCTAATTTCCTTTCTGTGTGTATATTCCATGTAATTTTGCATCCATCCTCTAGAACTTGCCCTACTTCTTAGTTGAATATGCATTATGCAATTTTTATCTAGATGATTGAGGCCTCCTTTACACACACACACACACACACTCACCATTGCCCACCCTTACACCTTATTGTATTACATCTTCATCTTTTGCCAAACTTAGTTTGCCAAAACATTTTTTTCTCCCATCAAGAACATATTTCTTTTGACTAACATCAAGAGTGAATGCAAATACTAAGTTTGGGGTGTTGATTTTGACGGTAGTTGCTTAAGGACAAGCAACCTCTCAAGTTTGGGTTGGTGGACATCATACATGTTACTAATACATGTTAAAAAAAAAAAGAGTGGTTGCCAAAGTCTAAGAAATCATAAAAGAAAGAATGAAAAAGAAAAAGAAAATAAAACGAAGCAAGGTCCAAGAGATTGAAGAGATCTTCACATAATGAAAAATGATGAAAAACAAGGTAAAAAAATGCTTGAACCTCTTAGGCTACCTCATTTGACGCATTTCATTCTAATTGTTGTATTCACTCACTCAAAAGGATTCCCCTATCTTGAAAATCCACTTGAGCTTTTGACCCTCCTTGATCAAATTGAACCTTTCCTATCCCTATTTGTGACTAACCAAGTCCTTTTGATAGGTAAATCATTGTATTGAGGCAAAGGAGATTGAGAATATGGGAAAGCATATGGTAGGGTAGAGCAATTTGCATGTATTGAGGGAAAATACCTAGCCTGCAACACTGACGAGTGAAGAGTGAAACACCACCTTGTGAGCTAGATAATTTCTTTGCATTGTGTGAAGTATGATGAACCTTGTTGAATTTTTGTTTTACTTGTATGGGACTTTGCATAAAATTAATTGATATGAGTGTGCTTTCTTTGTTGAATGACTCCATTATTTTGAAATGGAGGAAGTGTATATTAGAGTTGAAAGATTGGAACAGAAAAATTTTGAGAAATTTTTTTTGGATAAGTCCAGCCCTTTTTACTTAAGTTCTTGAATTTTGGTTTGCTTGAGGACAAGTAAAAGTTTATGTTTGGGGTTGTGATGAATCCATATTTTACTAAATTTTTATACATCATTTATTACTTTTTATAGAAAAGAATAGACTTAGATAGTGTAAATAAGATGAATATTCCAATTAGGCTAAATAATATAGGTTTCTTAGTTTTTGGTTAATTTACATTGATTTAGATAGTTTATTTTACATGTTTTGATCATTTGAATAATGTGGCAGGAATCTCCAAGCTTATTTTGAAGAATTATTGGATTTTGAGGAATTTGAGGTGAAAGTAACTACTTTCAAGATTGATAGTGACAACTACAACAAGTCGCTTCCAGCAAAAGGACCAAAGTGATCACTTTCAAAGCTTAAAGTGACAACTACAGCAGCCCAGAATCCACTAAAACTGCGTGTGGTTACTATGAAAGTTCATAGTAATCACTCCAGAGCATGCAAAATGTCCCACTGCTGCACGTACTTACTATCAAAGTTCATAGTAATCACTCCAGAGCATGCAAAATGTCCTAGTGCTGCGCGTGGTTACTATCAAAGTTGATAGTGGACACTACAGAAAGGCAAAACCCAATTGATGTTGCGCGTGTCTACTATGAAAGAATGAAAGTAATTACTTTGGAGGGCGCCAACTTTAGTATAAATAGATTTTTGCCAAATTAGGGTAGGAGCTCTTACATTTTTCGTACCTTTTTCTTCTTTACTAAATTAGGACATTTTTCCAGAGCTTAGGGCAACCTTGGGTGACAGCCAAGGGTCCAACCTAGGGTTTGGTTTCTCATTTCTCTTGCTTTTACATTAACGCTAATGAGTTTTCTGCATTTTCCAACTATGTTTTTGACCCCCATTTCCATGGAGGGCTAAATTTTATGTAATCCTTAGTGAGTTCACATGGATTCTTGATTTCCTTGATTTTAATGATAATATAACTCCTTTTTTTCATGAATTACTTCTTCCTTGCCTCTTGAATTGAATTAATGGTGAATAAGGGGGAACATTGCTTAATTAACCCTAATTCATTTTAAGGAGATTCTAAACTAGGGATTGCTTAATCCTAGGTTTAATTCTAAGGTTGCGTAATCTTGGGATAAGGGATTAGAGCCTAGCAAATTGCTTGTTAGGACCATAAGGTTGATTTTTGCTTGTTAAATTAACCTAATTCATATGAGAGAGGATGAATGTTAAATCTTGAGTGGAATGAGGATAGAATCTATGTAGATAAACTAAGGATTGCTACTTTCTACTTTTTGAATTAATTAAACTTGTTTGCTTGCTGCTCTTTATTTTGATTTGAAACCACAAAACCCCCCATTTTAATTGCTTGTTCAATTAATGCCTTCAACATGTTTAATGAAGATTAATAGCCAATGTTCACGGGAGACAATCTAAGGTAACCCTAGTACTACATTAATTTGTTTAAATTTTGATGAGGATTTGCGACAAATCTTTTAAACACAACATGAGAAAGTTCGTTCATCACCTTTGCACCCTTGCTACTGTAAATTATTCACAGCTGCCCAATTTGGGTCTGTAAATCCTAAATGGTGGCTGAAACATTATGCTAAAACTGCAGACTTTAAGTGGCCATTTGACTCATCAACTCCTCCAAGGAAGGTCCGTTGCTGGGCTGTGAAGGAGGCTGTTGTTGAGCTTGATTTTGCTGTGCAGATTGCTGCTGTCTCAAGGGAGGGGGCAAGTACTTTAGTTGTTGTTGCTGTTGCTGCACAGGGTGGTGTATTGACTGGTGGTATGAAGGATGTGGAGACTGTTGTGGATAAGCATACTTCTGATGTTGTGGTTGTGGTGCTAGTGGACCATACCTTAGATTGGGATGATTTCTCCACCTTGGATTATACTATCAACATTCATAGTACCACGCGCAGCACTGGGACATTTTGGACTCTCTGGAGTTGTCACTATGAACTTTGATAGTAACTACGTGCAGCACCTTTAATTCTGCATGCTCTGGAGTGATTACTATGAACTTTCATAGTAACCATGCGCATGTTTAGTGGATTTTGGGCTGCTGTAGTTGTCACTTTAAACTTTGAAAGTGATCACTTTGGTCCCTTTACTGGAAGCGACTTGCTATAGTTGTCACTATCAATCTTGAAAGTAGTTACTTTCACCTCAAATTCCTCAAAATTCAATAATTCTTCAAAATAAGCTTGGGGATTCCTGCCACATTATTCAAATGATCAAAACATGTAAAATAAACTATCTAAATCAATGTAAATTAACCAAAAACTAAGAAACCTATATTATTTAGCCTAATTGGAATATTCATCTTATTTACACTATCTAAGTCTATTCTTTTCTATAAAAAGTAATAAATGATGTATAAAAATTTAGTAAAATATGGATTCATCAAAGGTTCTGAAGCACTTCCTTCTCAGCCTGTAGTTAATCCAAAAGGTAATGTGAGTGCTATTACTTTGAGAAGTGGCAAGAAACTGACCAATTGTCCAATACAGGCCAGTGAAGGTAGTGGAAGTGAAGAGGGAATCTGAGATAATTCTGTGCAGCAGCAGTAAATTCCCCTTCCTTTTCCATCTAGAGCTCCTTCATCAAAGAAAGTAGAAATAGACCAAGAGTTGTTGGATACCTTCAACAAGGTGGAGATTAATATTCCTTTGCTAGATGTCATTAAACAGATTCCTCGTTATGTAAAATTCTTGAAGGAGCTTTGTACTTATAAGAGGAACTTGAAGAAGAGGAAAGTCCAGACAGTTTCATCCTTGTCCCAATCTAGCCTTCCACAGAAATCCGGTGATCCAGGAACTTTCTCCATTCCCTGCACAATTAGAAAGTCCTCTTTTGCTGATGCTTTACTGGATTTGGGAGCTTCTATCAATGTTATGCCATCAGCTGTATATAAGATGTTGCATTTGGGAGACTTGAAACCAACCAACATCATTATTCAATTAGCAAATTGAAGCACAGCTCAGCCCTTGGGAGTGCTTGAAGACGTGTTTGTAAAAGTTAACCAATTAATTTTTTCGGCTGATTTTTACATTCTTGATATACAGGATGAGAACTCGACTTTAATTCTGGGTAGACCATTCTTGATGACTACAAAGACCAAGATTGATGTCCATACAGGCACACTGTCCATGGAGTTTGGAGATGACACAGTTCACTTCAATATCTTTGATGCCATGAGACATCCAGCTGAGAGCCATTCAATGCTTTCTGAGTGTTCTGATTTTTCTATTTTTCTAGTTGATGTATTGGATAGAAATGTTATTTTTTATTCTAATATTGATGTCATAGATTTTGATATTGCTATAGATGTTGTTGATGTAAATGTAGATGTAGATGTAGATTTGAATTCAGATTTTGATTCGTCTCAGTTTTCATATTTAGATTTGGATTTAGATGTTTTACCAGGCTACACCTGTGATAATGACATTTGTTCCATTTGTGATGAGATTAATACTGCCATATCTTCTGTTGTTTTACCTTCCATTGCAGGTGCAGATCCAAATTCTATGATATCCATGGCTGCTGTTGCCCCACAACCTCCATTATCAATTATTCAGCAGCCACTTTCATTGGAGTTGAGTCCTCTGCCAAAGCACCTTACATATGCTAATCTGGATGCAGAGCAGAGGTTCCAGTGATTATATCCAGCAGCCTTCTGGAGGACCGGGAGGAGAAGCAGCTGCAAGTCCTAAAAGTGTACAAGAAAGTCATCGGTTGGACATTGAATGCATTCCTGGTATTAGTCCGGCTATATGTATGCATAGGATTCACTTGGAGGATGAGTCTAGGCCAGTGAGACAGCCCCAAAGAAGACTCAATCCTACCATTCTGGATGCAGTGAAGAAGGAGGTGACCAAGCTACTGATGGCTGGAATCATCTACCCCATTTCTTACAGTACATGAGTTTCACCTGTCCAAGTGGTGCCTAAGAAGTCTGGGATTACTATTGTGAAGAACCAGGAGAATGAGATGGTTCCTACCCGAGTTGCTAACAAATGGAGAGTGTGTATTGACTATAGGTGACTCAACCAAGCTACTAGAAAGGACCACTTACCTCTCTCATTCATTGATCAGGTCATTGAGAGGTTGGCAAGTAAATTTCATTGTTGTTTTCTGGATAGTTTTTCTGGTTACATGCAGATTCATATTGCTCCTGAGGACCAACACAAGACCACTTTCACCTATCCTTTCGACACTTTTTCCTATAAAAGGATGTCATTCAGCCTATGCAATGCACCTGCTACTTTTCAAAGGTGTATGTTGAGTGTCTTTTCTGATTTAATTGATAATTGCATGGAGGTGTTTATGGATGATTTTACTGTTTAAGTTCTTCATTTGATTTATGTCTGCATAGCTTAACCAGGGTGTTAGAAAGATGTGTTGAAACTAACCTTGTGCTTAATTATGAGAAATGCCACTTTATGGTAAATGAAGGTGTAGTTTTAGGACATCTTATTTCTGAGAGGGGAATATAGGTTGATAAGGAAAAAATTGATGTTATTTCTTCTCTATCTTACCCGCGTCTGTGCAGGAGGTGCATTCTTTTCTTGGACATGCAGGTTTCTATAGGTGATTTATTAGAGACTTCAGCACCATTGCTCTGCCACTGTCCAGTCTTCTGCAAAAAGACGTACCATTCTTATTCACTGATTCGTGTAAGGAGGCGTTTGAGGAGTTGAGGAGGAGACTCACCATAGCACCTATCATGCAGCGACCAGATTGGGAGCTCCCCTTTGAGTTGATGTGTGACGCCTCCAACTTTGCACTAGGAGCTGTATTATCTCAGAGAGTTGGTAAATTTCTCCACGTTATTGCTTATGCCTCTAGAACTCTTGATGCAACTCAGATAAATTATACCACCACTAAGAAGGAGCTGTTGGCTATTGTATTTGCATTAGATAAATTTCGTTCTTATCTGCTTGGCTCCAAAATAACTGTCTTTACAGATCATGCTGCACTGAAATTCCTATTGAAGAAGTCGGATGCGAAATCTGCAGGAATTTAATATTGAGATAAAAGATAGGAGTGGTGTGTTGAATCAGGTTCTGATCACTTGAGTCATATTGAAGGGACTGTTGACCCTTTACCTATCCGTGATAGCTTTCCTGATGATTATTTATTTGCTCTGAATTCTATAGATTTTGTACCCTGGTTTGCTGATATTGTGAATTATTTGGTTACTTCTGTTGTATCTCCTGATGCATATAGATCCCAGGTTGATAAACTAAAAAGTAATGCTAAATATTATGTCTGGGATGATCCATATCTGTGGAAATTTTGTAATGACCAGGTTATCCATCGATGTGTCCATGACCATGAATTTCAGGACATTTTGCATTTTTGTCATGACACATATGTAGGAGGCCATTTTGGACCGCAGAGGACAGTCAGGAGAGTATTGGACAGAGGATGCCTCAACAGGACAGTCAGAAGGCAGGAGGGACTATTACCAGGAGACATGAGATGCCTCAACAGCCCATTATTTTTTGTGAGGTCTTTGATGTTTGGGGCATCGATTTTATGGGTCATTTTCCTATTTCTACTGGATATTCTTACATATTGCTTGCTGTTGATTATGTGTCCAGATGGGTGGAGGCAAAGACCACCAAAACTAATGATTCTAAAGTTGTTTCGGATTTTCTCTGTACTCATATATTTTGCAGGTTCAGTGTGCCTAAGGCTATCATCAGTGACCAGGGGAGTCACTTCTGTAACAGGACCATTGCAGCATTGTTCCAGAAGTATGGGGTTACACACAGAGTTGCTAAATCATATCATCCCTAAACTAATAGGCAAGCTGAGGTATTCAACAGAGAAGTCAAGCACCTGTTGCAAAAGTTAGTACACCCGAACAGGAAAGACTGAAGTAAGTTTCTGGATGATGCTCTTTAGGCTTAGAGGACAGCTTATCGGACACCATTAGGCATGTCTCCATTTCGAGTGGTGTTTGGTAAAGCATGCCACCTTCCGGTGGAAATTGAGCATCAATCATATTAGGCTGTTAAAAGTAGTAACTTGACACTTGAGCAGTCTGAAATTGAAAGGAAGTTCCAACTTCAGGAGCTTGATGAAATACGCTTGCAAGCCTATGAGAATTCTAGATTGTATAAAGAGAAAGTTAGGAGATTTCATGATACACATATTCTGATGAAAGAGTTCTTTGTAGGCCAAAAAGTGTTATTGTTTAATTCTCGGTCGAAATTGATTGCAGGTAAGCTTTGATCTAGATGGGATAGACCTTTTGTGATTACTCATGTTTTTTCCTATGTTGCAGTTGAGATTCAGGATGAAGCTACCGGCAGGACTTTTAAAGTCAATGGTCATCAGCTAAAACTATTCCAGGAGAGCAGACCAGTGGAGCCAGCTCAGAACATAGTTGATCTATCCTTAGTGGAGCCTACTTTGATGGAAGATGTGTCTACATAGGCACTCGGAGTTTGGAGCATTGTTCTCTTTTACCTTTTTTTCTTTTCCTTATACTTTCCTTTACTTTTTTATGTATATTTTGCACTTTATTCTTGTATTGTTTGCATGTTTTGCATTTTCTATTTCTTTTTCCCTCATTGCGGACAATGTTTGGTTTAAGTGTGGGGGAAGGGAGTATTCCTTAGCATATTTTTCATTGGATTCCCTTTCTTTTAGATTTTATTTATGTGAGTAACTTTTCATTTGCCATTCTTAGTTGGAAGTTTCATAACTTGATAGATGTGTTTCTTGCATTTTGAGTTTAGCTAGTTTCATGATGATTAGGTTGTGGATCATTGATTGGTAGAATGTATGCCTTAGTGAGATTTGAGCTTATCTTCTTTCTTGTGTGATTCACTCATATTTGTAAGTATTCTAGAATTTGATTTGACTCTTTTTTATGTTATTTGTTCACATACACTTTTGATATGATTTAGGCCTTCTTTTGATTTTAGCCACATGGCCAAATTGACTTATCTTACATGTATTCCATTTGTTTTCCCCCTTTGAGCCTTATTAACCTTTTTCTTGATGATTTTGCAGCTCATTCCAAGCCATGTAACGTGAAAAACCATGATGTGCCCAACCTTTGGGAATAGATGAGCTTTGGAATTGTATTGAGAATTGGTTAAAAAATAAGTGTGGGGGTGTTTTGTATACATTGCTTTATTCATAAAAGTTTGAGAAGATTTTGATGCTTTGTAAGTTGATTGGAAAGTGGATTGTATACAAACAGTGCAGTAATTGTGAAAATATAAAAAAAATAAATTAAAAAAAATCCTATTGATCTTGTTTGTTACTATTTAAATAGTTGTGATGTGTGTTGCTGTTTCTCTTTTACTTGTTTTTAATCCATTCCCTATTGCTCTTCTTTTCTCTTTGGTTTTTAGTTTTGTACACTTTCTTTTATCTTACCTTTACCTTAGCCACATTACAAGCTTAATAAAAGTCCTATTGATCTTTGGTGCATGTGTTTTAAATAGTAGAAATTAGAGGCTCTTCAAGCCTATTGTAATGCTTACCGTCATGATGTGCTTTGAGTGAAATTTCTTGCCTAGACACTTAGAGAATGAGTGATACACATCTTTGTGAGAATTTTACCAATTATGATCCACAAATTGATTAGATTAAAACTCTTCTTCACTTTTAATGTTTGGATCACATTATTGATTGTTTTGATTCTTCCATCCTTTGATTGCTGGACTGATTTTTTCTTGCTCACATTACTTACACTTTGGGATCCATTGAAAAATTTTGCTTTGTGTTCATTTCTTTACTTTTCTTTTCTTTTGCTTGGGATTGCAAAAGCTTAAGTGTGGGGGTATTTGATGACTCATATTTTGTTCCCACATTTATAGTCTTAGTGCATCCTTTACATGTATTTTCATTCCCTTATTTCTTCCATTTAGTGTGTTTTTGCATTTTGCACTTTAATTAGGAATTTCTTGTAAATGCTCATGTTTTGCTTTTTTGACCTTTTTTCACTAATTTGGCCATTACTTTTTCTGTAGATATCCTTTTTGGCTGATTCTTTTTTCATTAGATTCCTTACTTTTGGGGCTTCAATTTGAACATTTAGATCATGCTATTTGGAGTTTGGAGCTATTTTATACGATTTTTAGAAGTTTATACTTTTAGTTTGACTTTTTGTATTAATTTTGTTTTGTCTTTCTTTTTTCGGTTTTGTTGAATTTATTTTCGGCCCAGTCTTAGCCCATTTATCTTATTCTTTTAGGAATAGTTTTGTTTTGTCTTTCTTTTTTCTCGCTTCCAATAAATCTCTCATATTTTTACCTATTCTTCTTCTTCTCTTGCACCTTTTCACTTTGAATTTGTGTTCCTCTGCAATTACAATTGAAAGGTATTTAAGTTTTTGCAATTTTAAGACGTTTTCTTCTACGTTTCTCACTCAATTACGTTGTTAAAGTCTGGATCGCACCTGTTCAAGACGTTTATGATTGCTCCGAGTTTATTTTCTGACCTTACATATTTGTGATTGCATAGAAAGTATTATTCGATTGAATTGTGCCTCATTCTTAATCGTATAACAAGTAATTGAGTAATTGATTGTTGTACAGAAGAGATTTAAACAAATTTTCTATAATCATTTACGTTTGTGTTTTGTGTGTTCTGGATCTTTGATTGTGTTTGATCATTCTTGGATTTGATTTACTTGCAATTTAATTCTCTGCAATTGCAATTTAATCACAAAACTCCCCCAAACATACAACTTTTTTTTTGCATAATTGATATTGAAACAATGTGTATTTGCATCCTTGTGAGAGATGACCTAGGTTGCTCCCTAAACTGCATATTTTTATGAAGAATCTAGTTACTTTTGATGCATGTGTGACATGATATCATTGTGCATCATTCGACTCGTGGGAATAAGAAAGTGTTTAGTGTACTAGCTCAACATCTCTTTACTTACTCCTTTTTAACTCTAGCTACTCTAGTTATCGCTACAAGTGTGGAGCTCTAGTACTCGTTTAACTCACTCCATTTGTATACTCGTTTCAAGTATTACACTCCTACAGGTATTACACTCGCTCCTTACTCTAGCTCTCCTTGCTCGCTCCTCTCTTTCTTATTTAGAAAAAGTAAGCAGAGGAAGTGAAGGTTGGAAAATGACATAAGAGATAGGAAAGTTCCACACGCGGAAGAAGCTCAATGGTAGAGCATATTCCCAGACTAAGGTTGAGAGGGATGAGGCAACTCGTTTGCTTACTTGAGTTCTGAAAGTACTGATTTCCTAATCTCAGAAAAGCACTAGATCTACTTTCTATTTGTTTGAAATCATCCCGATATTAAGGCTTTATCAAAATGAATCAAGTAATAAAACGCTATGTTCAGATTCTAAACCATTCGCTACTCCTTTTTGTGTGATTAAACAACTTACTTAATCTCGAATTTCATATTTCAAAAGGAGAAGGCATATCAAGGCTGAAGCCAAATTAGGCAAAAGTCCTCTTACATTTGCTGCTTTCCTAGGACTTGCACTTACTTCTTTTAGAGAAGACTTGGCTCCTATTTATGCTATTTCCATCCACTTGGCTATGATTGTTCTTCGCGAGTCTCTTTCTTTTCTTTCTAGAAATCAAATGCATATGAAAAAAGAAATAAGAGTTCAACCATTAGATTATGAGAAGAGTGGCAAGAAGTGAATCCATATGAAACCTTTCCTCGCCTGGTGGCTTGGGCCACGGTCCTACCAAGTACATCATCCGAACGAACTAGGTTCTATTGATTTGTAGGACACTCGATCCGTTTCAGCTAAGCTAATAGAATATATATAAATGAAATAAACGCTGTCACTTTAAGCGAGTTAGGAGATTCACGTGCTGCTAAGAACCATTCCATAATGGAGGACTTTCTAACATCAATAAATTGTAGCTAGGTACAACTTCTAAAAAATTTCTTAGTGAGTCACCATTGTCTCTCTTCGATCAAGCCCTTTGTAGGAAGTATGTCTCTACTTCTTTTCCTAAGATCAGATCTCTTCCCTGTACTTAAAATCACTCTCGCTCTGCTCTATAGCAAGAGTAAAGTAAGGAGCGAAGGATAGAAAGGATTCAAAAGGAAAGACTGAAGTACGGTTTAGCAATAAAAAGAACTTTATAATCCAACTTCCATTTCACTAGATTCCAAAAAGAGAAGAGAGTTGAGGTTGAGGTGGCACATCTCAACCGATAGGGTAAGGAAAGGCAAGAGAGCAGAAGAATCCACCTTACAAGACCTACATCATCCTAAGGGACTAGTTCTTCCAACCTTTCTTTCAAGTAGTTTTTCTACTTCTTCCTTATACAAGAATTCTCTGATCTTTGCCCAACTTATCGCAAGGAAGGACACTATTGAGACCAGCACTTCAAGATACTCTAACTCTAAATGAGGCATTTCATGTCTATCTTTCTTACTAATAGAAGCCAACTATGATATCTCATCATACAATTGACATTGCCTTAACATATAGTTTACGTAAAAAAGTATCGACAAAAAGGTGCATTGATGCCATGGTCCTATTTAAGTTCTCTACAGGCTAGCGTACTACAGGGAAAGGAGGAAATGTTCATAATGGAATCTCTCTAGAAATCAAAATAGACTAAGCAAGTGGAGAAACTACTCAACGTGCATTAGGATCACTTTGTCTTAGTGGAAGAGGGTAGAGAGTTTACATGAATGAAAGACAGGATAGGCCAAAGTCAAAGAGCAAACTTCACGAATGGGGGGTTTGGAAGCAAGAAAGCGTCTGCGAGCGGGGAGGGTAGTAAGTTCGCAAGGTAGTTAGTCAGGAAGGCAATCTAGCTCTGATTTTAGGTTGGGACTGACCTAGGCATTCAAAAAGAGAGGCATATTCCATTTCTGGGACTGTTTTTTTTTTTTTTAATAAAAAAGATTAGTTTGAAATCGGATTTCAATCTATCAAAGAAGATATCCGGAAATCAGTTCACAACGTAGGATTTTTTTGGGTTGCTAGAGATGAAAGAACGAAATTCCTGCTCTTAAGGCCACGCTAGTCAATCGAGTGGGAGAAAGAGAAAGATGCACATAGGGACTCATTTAACAATCTCCGGGAGTAGCAACCTACTGCCAATCTTGCAGAGGAGCAACCTTCCAATGCACCGTTTGTACTTGGGAACGAGCTAACAAACGTTAGCGAGCATATAAGAGGGTATGAAATTGCTCTACCAGGACTTCTCCTTATATATAGCTTTTAGATATATCTCAAGATAGCTTTGAACTAGTTCCACGCAAGGAAAAATAATACATACTACCAATAAGCAAACTAAGAAACCGATACCAAGCCTAGCTTGAAAAAGATAGATCACAAGTATGTGTTGAAGCAAACATAAAAATACCCTATATGAAGAGTTCTTGAAAAGACCATACAGAAGTAGCCAAAGTCAAAATTCAAGGACCATATGGAAAATCCATCATCCTAAAAAGAATCTTTGTTGATACTC